TAACATCAATCCGTTGATGGCGTTCACTTCGTTGTCCACTGAAAAGTAAGGCAAGATTGGCGCAGACCAAGGCATGGTCAGAGTCCAGATAGGTACTCCAAAAGGAGCGGCAGTCTTGTACACAACCACGCCAGCGGTAGCTGATCGCGATGTGATCAATCTGAGTCCAGGCTTGAGATGCAGAGGGAGGACGCCAGGTGGCACATCGGCGATGACTGTGCCGAAAGTTAGTGCTAGCCAGAAACAGGTTGTGGTCTGCGCAAAGTTGCAGTAGACGGTCCCCGTTATCTGACCTGCAACCACCGAGTCCCCATCGGCCACCTAAACGACTCTCTTCTGTGCCTAGACGCCCGACCTGAGCATTCAAGTCTCCGGCTAGTACTACAATATCTGTCGAACGCACTTTCTGGAGAAGAACTGATAACTGGTGGTAAAACTCATCCTTGATTGCATCCGGGCTGCAATCTGTCGGGGCATAGGCGGAGATGACGAAAAGACATCGTTTCTCACGCCGATTTCTTCTCACTTTGATGGAACTTTCTAATCTAACAGCACATAACCGACTGTTAATGGGGATCCAATCGACTAGTGCTGCCTCAGCTCTAGCGCTTAGTGCGACACCAACGCCAGCAAAACCAGACGAAGATCCCACAGGGTCCCCGGATAAGCGCACGTAAAACAAGCTTTTCGAAGCGACAGATGGAGATCGAATTTGTAGTACTTCGCCAGAGTCTTGAATACGGGTCTCGGATAGACAACACACGTCGATATTAAGACTTTCCAAAGACATAGCCAGCCCTATCTGTTGTCCGACCTGCATAAATGTGCGAACGTTGAAGGCAGCCAGTTTGAATGATGCACGTGGTTTCAGAAAATCTGCTTCAGTCCTCGTATTCGGTGGTAACATACAATTTTCAACCGGACAGTGACTCGAGAACGTTTAGATACAGTCGGAATTCCACCAAAGACGAGCCGCTGTATAAGTATAAAAGAAGGTGAATAATGTGGAAAATAATAATAATAATGATAATAATAACAATAATGACAATAATAGTAGTAATAATAATATTAGTATTAATAATGACAATAATTGAAGTGATCATAATTTGAATCAATTGATTGTTTTTCAAAGCGACAAAAGTAGTTTCCATAGACATAAAGCGTTCATCATTTGTGTGTGGGCTGTGATACTGCCCGGGTGCCCAAACCGAAGCAGGTGGTTATCTTAGGGGGCCACTCCCCGAGCCTTTGACCTAAAGGTCTAACCCACAAGGCAGTGGAGCATCGTAAGGAGATGCAGTCCCATGGTAGCCGGTGACCAACGATTGGTTCATACGCCATTCGTTCCCGCAGGATACTGGAGCCCATGTGCACCATTGGTTTGGAATCCGGTTAAAGCGCCGGACATTCGCTTCTCGTCCTCTCATTTTCGTAAACAACACCCCCGCCACGAGAAGGCAATGAGTAGGACTTCCCTGGCAGAGGCTATATACGCGTGGCCGTGTGAGAGTATTTCGAGAGGGAGAGCGGACTCTCCCCACTCTCGGCCGTACCAGGGCATTCAGGGGGCCAAATATTGATTACTATGACAGGATAAAATTTGACTCCTTTTCCTATTTTAGTGATTCCCATATCTTATTTTGGTGTGCACTAAAATATTACTGTTAACCAGTGTATAAACCTGTTTTGTGATTCTCCTCCACATGTTTTGGTAGCACATTTAGTGATCCTCGGTGTCTTTCCAGCCTAATGCTAATGGTTTAGGCCTCTTGAGATTTGCTAATGGTCTCTACGACCTAACGATTAAGGCCTTGTGATTTCTGTGTGTAAAATACAGTCTATATTAGTTGGTATTCATTATAAGGAACTTGCATTTCTTTATTTCAACCTCATATTTGTATCTTAATATCGAGTATTTCCATTTGTATGAGACAGTTGTCTAGAAATCTCAGTATTTTATCCATTAGAATACAGGATTATTTTATGTTTTGTTTTTTCCAGTATCCGCTTACCTGTGTTCTACCACTTATTGATTCGGTTTCTCCTGAAGTTCTCCGTAGACAAATCCTACTGGATGATCTCAAAAAAAGGTACGGTTTTTATGACCATTTAGTTATACACAACACTCCCGTGGAAATATATGTGGGGCGCATTTTCCCTGCTGTGTACCAAACTAGATTTTTCACAGGGAACTACAATTAATGAATTTTTTTGTAGACAGTCATTTTTGAATAGGTAATTCGTAAACTTAGGAAACTAATCATTAAGCCCGTGTGGTACAAGCCTATATGATGGCGTGCAAATAATGTAATATCATTTCAATGTGAGCAGTAAATTCTTAACGTAAAGTTTGGAGTAAAAGTACTTATACTTATAGTCCCTTAGTCACGTTTAATGTGGTTAGGGATGTCCCGTTTACTTTCGTCGGAGTTAATTAAATTGGTCTTTTGAACGAGTTGGAATCCCAATCTACCAAGTTTTCAGTAGCTTATAATTGTCTTTCTACTTAGCTGGCTTTTGTTTAAGCTAGCGAATTATTGGTGAGCGATAAGTACCTTCTACTAATACTGTATACTAGTGTGCCTTATTCTTCGAGTGAGTCACAAAATTATTACTTCGTTTAGCGTAGAATTCCATGGAGAATTCGAATCAAGCAGTTAATAAAATAATACATAACAGCGAACTAAGTGATTGTCCTAGTATTCACTTATTAAAAAAACCTCAATTTACTTTTTTTGATTCTAGCATGCATCCAATATTAGATGCTTTAAAAATAAATATTCATTGTGTATACAGAAGATTAGAAAATTCTGTGCTTTATTTTAAGTAAGTTTCTCAATTTATCAACAGATTTATAACTCAGTTTTGCCCAATATCGTGAAGTAAGAATAAATCTAATTACTGTAACTATTTTCATAAAATTTACGTTTCTGAAGAAACATCCTTTAGAAATTTTCTTTCACCCACGACCAAAAGATCGTCTTTGTATTGATGAGGATTCGCAACTCAGCTGGATGGTTTTAGTGTCACATTTCCTAAGCTGGGTGGTTTAGCTTCCTTTGTTTCGAAGAATATTAGGGCTTACTTAGAATAGATGTTGTTTTGTGACCATTTTGAATTTTTTCACTGAAATAAAAGTCCGCATCATTCAACGATTAATGCCGTTACATTTCTGTTTAGTTAGTAGTATAGCTTCCGCAGTCATATCTCGTCGCCACAGTTTAATTACTTGTAACATTGGTAGCTGACTTTTATCTCGTCATTCGGTGATGATGAGATATCGATGATTAAATGTTCTGTCATTATGTCAGCTGGTTCAGCTGAACTCCGTTGTCAAGATATTAATTCTCTATTGAGACGATACCGCACGAAAATAAGACATCTTTTGGGTGATGGCATGCACTACGTAAGTCTAGGAAACTTAAAACGTAATTACATTTTTTCTAATTTGACACTTTCCAATTTCACTACTCATTAGCGATATTCTTTTTTTTTCTTTTAGTCTTACTAGTAAGAACGTACATATGAACCCAAACGAAAGTCAATTAATGGCTTTAGTGATCTTATTCCTCATGGCAAACGTAGAACCTGCTTTGGCCCAACTCACAAATGACGAATGTATAACTAGATTTCTAAATTCAATAAATGGACCGTCTTTGTTACTGTTTAAAAATAAGATCATAAACCAGGCAATGACTCTGTACCGTTATGATTCGGATGACTAATCTATTTCAGAACCTTAATGCATCAAAGGACTTATCCCTGTTCCGAAATGTTGGATTTTTTGGTAGCCAACAGCTTCATGTTTGGCCCTAAACATTCACATCGTTTTATGACGGATGTTAGCTAGAGGAAAAAACTGATATGTCAAGATCTACATTGGCAAACACTGAACTTGGTGGTTAATGCAGTTGTAAAATAGTAAATATTTTATAACACAAACCAATATTACTTTCTCTGTGTACATGTGCTGCTCATTACTTTTGTACAACAAATAATTTAAATGAAAGTGATGAGAGATTTTTGTAAAGATTAAGATATTACTAGCGCTGCAAAAATGACCAACGTTTATGGATTTTAGTAACGATCTAATAAAGTACTGAGATGTTTCACTAATGTTAATCGCTCTATTTCATTGTCACATTTAGTACTATATGAATCCTATATTACTTTTTTGTTTAGATCTATAGAATAGTATCATTTTAAAATATGCTTATAATATTCTACAGTACTGCGTATTCAGATGATATGCTAGATGTTATACTACTTAGAAAACTGCACTTCTTAGGATGATCGAATTTCCTAGTTAGAGTGTAGAATATGAAGAAATTATTTTAATTGTAAATAATGCTTAAGATCGATTCACTTAAGATTTGCAAGGTAAAGACGCAAGCACAACAAAAAATTGACGTCTCAACGGTGTTATGGGGAGCAAATATCCTTGATATAGGTATCCTTACCAAGGTGTGGCTTGGTAGTTTCGGATAAATTGAGCTTTGGGTAGATTGTTATAAATAAATTAATCTATTTGTAATATCCCAATGAGCAGGCAAATTAGATTTTCTGATGTTTCGTGACTCAGTGTAAGCCACTTCTTCGGAGAACAAATAACTCATTGTGATGTTACAAATATATTAATTTATCCTTGATATAGTTTCTACATAATGATCGAAATCAAATGAACAATTTCTGTAAAAGAATCTAGCCTTATTTGTAATTGCGTATTTTTAAATTGTCGGTTGAGCTTCGAATGCTAGATTGCTTTTTTTTCAAATAACACTTGCCCGGAAAGCGAAGTATGATTTATTCTTAGCAAGTGTTTCACCTTGCAACGCAACAAATACATCTATTATACCTACGCAGCAATTGGCCCTTCTTACTTTGTGAAATACACATTACGATTTTTGTAAATGTACGAGTTATACTTCCTATCAATACATCTCGTTATGTTGAGTGCGTTTTGACAGGCTTTATGAGAATATATACAAATATCATAATGTTTAAGCAACTGGATCGAGCGGACGATTGAAACCTCCACGACGATTCATGTACTGACGATACTTTCGCTGTTTTGCTATGTTTGCCACATAAACACTGTTACCAATAACATGCTTTCCTTTTGTTGTGCCGAAATTGCAGAAACCCATAGTGCGCATCATTTCTGCCTCCTCTTCGGTTACAGGTTCAGTTGGTTCTGCTAAAAAGGTGATGGAGCTTCAAGAACAACCTACCCTCTTCATACTCCACGGTTTCTGTTTCAGCTGTAGGCATGGGGCTCCTAGAGCGTGTACGACGCTTCCATCTTTCGTCGTTATGATTTTGTTCATGTCTTCGTCGACTATCACGGTCTCTGCGTTTTTCTTTTTCATGTCGGTATCGACTTCTTTCTACATCTCTTTCATCACAATCGTATCCGTGGTCGCGATCTCTTCGATGGTAGTCTTCTCGGTGTTTACGAGAACGCTCACAATTATCATTACGATCTCTGTATCGGTCATGAGATCTTGATCGAGGGCGTTTGTCATAATCTGTAGATACAAGAAAAACACTAGATTATATGTTATGTGACCATATTCCAGATTATATTTGTCTAGAATTATATAGAAATATATAATGTCTTAGAGGGCAGTTGAACTTAAAGTGATTCCTGACTTTAATTTGAGTGACCACAGTCTTTTCGATAAGAGAGTGAGATAGGGGGTGTAGAGCTTGGACAGCTTTGTAAGTGCAAAAGGCCTACTTAGAGAAAACACAAAACACGCCAAACTCAATTACTTGTGGATTAGAATACTAGAATCGAGGGTCTGAAAGTTTGATATTTTGCGCTTCAAAATAATATCAGGACCGATTACAACAAATATGTCAATTTAATAGTTGTATTCATGAGTGGATTTAAGCTAGACCACCACTGAAAACACTGGAAGGTCGACTTGTCCTAGTATGGGACTCCTCAAGATGTATTTCCTGGAGTTCTAGTGAGAGGCCGCGATCAGTGGAGTTCAACCGTTTTCGTTGTGAGGCGGTTACTCACCGAAAACTGGTGGACGGTCGCGCAATATCGTGGATTGGTTGGAGTTACACATTAACACCGTTGGTTGCCGCGTCAGTGGTCTAGACATTAAGCATTCGTGCGCGAGATCTAATGTCCTGGGTTCGAGTCCCACGTGCGGGACCGTGGGTGCACACTGCTGAGGAGTCCCATACTGCGATGAAACGTCCGTCCAGTGCTTCCAGGTTTTCAATGATAGTCTGGCCTTCATCGACTAATGAATCCAACTATTAAATCAATACTATATCAATGTAAGGGCATTTCTTGATGCTATCCCCATCAAAGTTCAATATGAATACGCAAGTGACGATATGTTATCCAAATTCATTTTTCGAAAGCTTGCACAAATATGGTAGTCCGTATAACCATGATCGTTAAGTTTGCAATATTCAGATGGAAACGGAGAAGTGATATAAAATTATTCTTACCACCTGCTTAACATATAGCGATAATGATGCACAAGTTCGCGTTTCCGTATACAGCCCTGCTTGAAAAATTCAAGGAGTCAATATAAATGACTGTTTTGAAGTACACATGTTCAAAATAAACTTGTTATATTCGAAGAGTCACAAGGTGTCACCGAAACTACGTCGTCTCCAAAAATGTAATTTAGGCTTCTGAACTCTACTTCTTAAAGTAATTAGTGATGAAATTGATATAGTCTATGACTTTTTGGACTCAAGTAAATACACGTTGAAGTAAAAAAGAAAGAACCCTAACGTCAAGCTAATGTTCTGAGTGTATCAACGGGAATAGTTCAATGGAATCAGTAGGTTCGGTTGATTAATAGACAACGTAACATTATGATTGGTTTCGCGTGCACGACAAAGCTTATGAAAGGAGCGAGCTGTTTGAAATTTATATGCTAAGAACAGAGCCTAAAGATGAAGTTTGCACTGAATCTGATCAAATATTTGCAAAAACTAGTCCCGAAACAATTAAGCTAAGGAATTCGCTTAACTGACTAAAGAGGCTTTTGTCAATCAGTGAGTGAAAATGTGATTCAAGTGCCGACTGGAAAACTGGCATGCAGAGAGGCGCTACACAAAATTGACGGTTGTTCAATACAAGTTTACTCGTGTTTCATACATAAAACCACTCTTGGACAATCCCAACTAGTTAACGCAAGTGCGTCAAAATATGCCTGCATGGGCGGTAGACACGCAAGTTTGAACAGCCATTCCTATTCTTAGTTCATACCAAAGTTGAGTAATCAATTAAAGAAGGCCAAGGCCGAACGCTACTCGCTTTAGACCGTCTTAAAATGGTACGAGCGTTATTAATAACTACGCAAATGTAGAGAGATGCACAAGGATCACTGTCTACGCAAATCGTACAATACGAGTTGGAGGGAAATATATATCTAGGTTGTAAGCATTTGTTTGAATCAGAACCAATTCCGAAGACAATTTCTGGTGACCGTGTTGTTATACAATGGAAGACCCAGGCTCTCCCTCCGAAGTCCTACAGTGGCTTAGTCATAATATGTAAGGTATCAAGAACTAAAATGTGAGTGGGTACAGTCTTCTTTTAAGCGAGTCAACATGACTGTGTGATTACAGAGGGAGAGCATACTTCTAAGTGAAGTGATAGCTTAGTGGTTAAGTCAATCATTAGGTCACCGCTTTTATCTTAGTAATCTAGTAGTACTATTGGCTATTAAATCAAATGTAAGAAGTTGACTACACTAAATCTGCACTTGACATTGGGATAGAAATATTAAAATATGAGAGGGAGTAGAATATTCATGTACTTATTACCGAAGTGATAGTATATCAGACATTTCCGACCCGGAAAATGCAATCTACACGATTAATTATCGATAATAAAAGGGTGAGACTGTAATTTATGGAGGAACCAATCAGATTTACGATAACCATTCTAGACGCGAAACTAATTCCGTCATTTGGTTAGTTTTGGCATTGTAACTGACGTCAGCTCGTGATTAAAAAGCTTTATTTAATTCCTAACTTTAACTATCAACTGCAAATATTAACCCTAATTCTTTACACTTGTTTATAACCCTCATATTGCCGTAGTATGTAGGTGGATATTCTCAAGGTCTGTATAGCGTCGCTCAGAGGTCATCCATAAACTAGTCTCGCCGGTAAAATACTAGAAGGTAAAAGGAGAGCTTGTTGATAAGACTGTAGTTCACATGTTTTGAAAATCTGAGTGCCATACACAGCTTTCAATTTTTTCGTTATAAAATACATAAACACGAACTCATTAAAATGACTGAGAACTGCAACCTAGCACTTGAAAATGAGATGTATAACTGAAGTCACGTTTTGTTATTTTATCCCAAGACTTCACGATAGTATAAGGAGACCACTAAGATATATTCTAACACACCTCTTGGCATCCTATTCCACAATTTTTTTCCTTGGCGGGTCTCTGAAGGTCAATATCCACAAATGACTCAGCTGATTCAAATAGTTGTGAACGATATAGAAGATGCAAATGATATTATTAAGCAGAGGCCTAGAAACATGAAAAAAAGGTGAACAACTGATAATATGTCCAATATCCAAAATCGTTGACACGAGCTTGTATAAACAGATTGATTTCTTTGCAATCTTTTCTTGTTATTTCAGTACTGTTCCAGTTATTTGGTAATGTCTAATGGGCGGTAGGCAAGCAACTCGATGATATTAACTCCATTCAGTTTTGTCGGCTTGTATATTTTGTAACTCGAGTGCATTTTACTCTGGACTGTAGGGTTTCTGGTTACCAGAACCTATCACTTATAGGTTGGTTGATTGTTCCGTAAAAGTAATAAAGTGAAAATCCGAATGTTAGAAGATGGTTGTTTCAGGCAATAAATAAATTAATCAGCAACTTAATTAATTGGTGATGTGGACATTGTGAAAAGACCGAAGTTTTTGAATAAAAGGAGAAACGAGAAAAACATTAAGCGAGATACGATGTAGTTAATGATATGTAGTAATGTTAACAGTAGTTGAATTATGAGACACATCAGGCACAGTTGTTCGAAGTGTGAGACTGACACTCTCAGATCCTCGTTTATTTTTCTACCGCTCTTAAAGAACAATCACGTGTTGGAGCATGTCTTCGTAAGCTTTATTCTTTGTCCCTATCACCCACTCAGTTGCCTATCTTTGTCCTTGGTCCAAGAGATATGTGTCTATTTCGAAGAGAGATTATTGGACAAAACTGTAGACTTCAGAATGGAGTGTTATGTAAGTTTCATAATGAGGTAAGGATACTAATTCAGTGAATATGCCAAGTTGTCATTGCTTAAAGCACTGAGTTCAATTTGCATTGCCTGCATTTCCGGTGTATTTTGAGTTGGTGTCCAGTTCTTTGTGATCATTAGCTACAGATTGTACTCTGAAGAAACAAACGGGGGTAAATTTCCATAAAGGACCGTGAAGCTCCTGATGTTGAGACCCTGCAACTTATGTGCACTCTAATTATCCTAAGACGAAACATACTATACTTTAGGTAGTTCTGAAACTAAGATAAAAGTGGATTAGTGAAACCTATCTTTTCAACGTTTCATGTTTCAGATTGGCCCGATAAATTCAAATCCAAATGAAAGTATTTGTTCTCCCAGTTTACGTCATAGACCTTTTACATTTTTATGGAGGCACTTGATGACTTATCACCTGCTGGTGGATTCTAGCGGCACAAGAGTCCCTGTTGTCCTGCATCGCCAGTTGTTGAAAGAGGTCAAACGACAATGAGATTTGTCATTTTCAGCTGCTCCCCTGATTTCTTTTCGATCTATTTGCCCCTTAACATCTGACGTGACTTAAACCATTCTTTGAGCTCTACTAGGCCTAAAGAGCCGAAATAAGATAATCTCCGTTTCTAAGGTTTACAGCTATCGAACGCGGAGATTTATTGTTTACCGACCCTGGAGGTTAGTTGTACTAATTGATCTAGTGGTGTGAAGGTCTATACTTAGTGTTCTAGTATGCTTGCTGATCTCTTAACGGTATTTCTTTCGGCCCACGGTTTGTTGCATCTAGCGTGTGCTGAATCTAAAATTACTCGTTATGGGTGGAGGTTTACTTTCACTGCATTCTAGCTCTGGTACTGATGGCCAATTGTGGTTGGATTTGCATTCATTCCAAGCACTGTACAAAATATTTCACATGGATAAAAGACTGTCCTACTTTCTATTAAATTAACCTCTAGCAGTCGAGCATTAAATAAAATCAGAACTCTTTATCCAACGTCTTTATACTCAATGTTTAGCGTTTTGTGGGCTTAAGGAAATCTCGAGTCTCTTCATGAATATGCCCCACAATATGTTTATTATCTTGGAATGATGAGAGATTCTAGGCCAGGACACCAAGTTGTTGCTCACAAATTCTACCAAAAATGTATGTATCGTAAACATTTTATTTAATGGATGAACTTTGGAACTTGCCATGGTTTATTCAAGTGATTATTTATTCAAACGGTTCAAGTTATACTGGACGGAACACTAGTAGCAGTTGCTTAGTTGACATGCCTATCTAGTCGTAGGGGATCACCAATGCCTCCAGGTGGGCACCAATGTATAATGGCAGTTAAAGCCGAATTTTTAAAAGAAATTATGGTTAAATACTGTATTGGATCTTTAAGAATATGTCAAGTTTTCGCTCGAAGGACTTCTGGGAAGTCATTTTGATCACCTCAGTCTGCAGTGAGCTCCCGAATCTGTGCACCTGCGAAGAGCAAAGTTTGTATCTACAGTCCATCCGGCAATTTTGTGCCTTGAATATACGGGTGTTTCTCTTTCTCTTACTGAAATAAGGTCAACATTTAAGGGGGGTTCTCAGGAGTTTTTAGGACGCTATAAGTCGTTAGAAGATCACCTATTAGATGCCTATACTCTGATAGTAAATATTCAGTGGTCAATTTTAAGCCCTAAAACTGAGTTCGCGTCTCGTCACTGATTACATTCCAGTGTATTCTTATTAGTTCGAAGTGGGGGAAAACACTATATGTTCATACTGTAAATGTGTTTTAATGAATCTGCCGAAGTTTTGCTATCAAACTGCCCGAAAACGCTCTTCAACGTTGCCAGTTCAGGGTCTGCTCTAGTGATATTTTTGTTTAGATCTCTTTCAACTCGGGACATCTCTACAGAGCGGTTGGCCAGTTTGAGTGAGACGTATATCATCTACTTCACCAAAAATGTTTAAGAATTCAAGATGTAAGACATCAACCTTCCCTCTGCCATTAAAGGTGGTATTTTATCCGACCACAGCTGTTAACAGGTTTGTTGTATTGGAGCAACGTTTCCTGAAACTGCGCTGTTAGGGGTCAAAATATGTTTATAAACAATAAGTAGTCACTTAGAACGTCGTATATATGTGATGTAATGGGCGGTGTATAGAATGTGATACTGATACCTAATGTGCCACGCTCTAAACCAACAACTTGTAGAATTAGGGCCTGCTAAGTTATCAGTAATGCTAATCTGTCACGATGTGACTACCTTATCGATAAGATCTCACTCGAAGACACATTGTTGTCTACTCTGACTCGTCTTGTTATAAGCATCACTAATATATGATGGAGAACACATTTAGATTAGAGACAGAAAAATATATTCAGTATGAATAGAAACGAAAAGCTACACAAGAATGACCACGCCTGCATGGCTGAGTCATGCCATCCCATTAGATCTCGAATAATTAGTCCCGCGTTCTCCATTGTTGACCTTCTTTTCATGCTAATTGTTAAATATCTAGTTTCTCAGTTATCTCATATTCAGCTTTGAGGACAATGTGGTTAGGGCAAATACCACTACAAACTTGCTTCTTGAGCAAGAACAAAAGAGTGATTGGGAAAGTGTATTGGTCCACCGAACAAAATGTTCGAAAACTCACTCTAACCCTTAGAAAATTGACCGATTTCTTCCCATTAGGCTAATTCTGGTTGGCTATCCATATCAATAAGGGAATCTATGATTTTTGAGGGTGTTGAGAGAAGTGCAGACGTTCACTAGCCTCATGAACAACTGCGTTGGCCATTGGATATTAGTTCACGTTTTCTGGGACGGTGCCTAGGCTTGAGGAATGTGGAAACATCAAACCAAGCTGTTTTCAGAGGTTAAAGCTGCTCCTCTAGATTTAGAATAATGCATCATATCTGAGCCGGGAGAAATGCCCATGTTTAGGTGCTGCGATTTGTGATACATCAGGTCAGCTCACAGGCTCACTCTTGACAGACCTGTGGAGTTGAAGGTGGAGTTCTTATCGCTGTAATTTTTATGTGACAGTTGAAGTGGTGGTGGGTGGCGTTATTGTCGTGTGGTTGAGTCATCAATACATGAAAGCCAAGAACCTTTAGTTGTGACTTGTCGAAGGGAGACTTTGTGACGGAATAAGCTTCAAAGTTTGGAAATAAGTTTATCGATTCACGTTATTTATTACTGAAGGGTTTCTTGTCTGGTTGCCTCTATGAATAGATTGCTTGCCTGTTTGAGCTGCTGTTGTCACTGGTTAGTTTGTATTCCACTCAATGGCGTCTCTACGTATTAACGTTTGATGGTATTATTTTTTTAACCACACGTTTCCTATATATTTCGAGGACCCATTGCGAGACAGACTAGTTTGTAGCACATAACATTACGTTCAGTCAGAAATCTCAATGAGCATTTACATCAAGTTGAAGGTAAACTTTCCAGTCTACCTGTTGTTGGTCTTCTTGTCTAGCTGACACATAAAAACGGCTGAACTTTCAACGATTGTTGCCAGCAGAATGTTTGAAATCAGTTATGCTCATTAAACCAAAGGCTTTGGCGGTAGGATCGTGTTTACTCAGGCGAGCCAAGATTGAGAAGCTGTCATTTAAGAATCCTTCGTTGGTAAATATGTAGTTCATGTGTGACAGCATTTCCATACCGAGTTGCTAAATTGACATTTCCGAAAAATGCATACATATATTGAGATGAAGAACCGAGCACCAGTAGATTTGTCACCTCAAACGTACTTGATTTCAGAGAAATTGATTTCGAGAAGTTTTAGTTAAACGTAAATCAGGATATGAATGTATCAGAAAGAAATAGAGCTGGGAAATGTTTCCAGTATACGACTTTTCTACTAGGGCTAGGAGCTGGGTTTCCTGTAGACGACTCTAAGTAGACGTCTGGAGGTGTTAGATAATTCCATTCATGTAGGTTGTTAAACTCCTGAGTGTACAATTGGCGCTCTGTTAAGCAAGGTCGTAGTTACAGAACGGCTTTGAATCACATTCCTGTCCTCCTTTCATTGGGACGTAAACGGATCCCGAGTATTTCTAGCACTTGATTCTTAATCTGAGATGCCATGTTTAAAATATTCATATCGTATTACTGTTATTAGCGTTATCCAGTTCACGCAAAGTATCCACTTTGTTCCG